CTTCTACATTGAACAAGAGGGCCATGATGGCCCATAAATCGCTCACCTCTATATATGCCCCCGGGGCGGGGCCAATTTTAACCTGAGGGCTATTATTTGCACTTGGTAGACACCAATAAGAAGATGTTTCATAATAAATAACTAAGCTCTAGCTCTTTGGGGTTTTTAAAAGAACTTTTTTTAAGTTTTAACTATACACATATCGGGAAAAACAATGACCCTCCTTGGCGGGGCCAATTTTGACCCCTGGACTTTTTTTGAACAAACATGGTAGACACTAGAAGATATTTCATGCTAAGTATCTAAACTCTAGCTCTCATGCTTAGTATCTAAACTCTAGCTCTTTGGGTTTTTAAAAAGAAGAATTTTTAAGTTTTTACTATACACATATAAAGAAAATAAATGACCCCCGGGGAGGGGCCAATTTTAACCACCAGGCCCCTTATTTGAACAAACTTGGTAGACACCTATTAGAAGATGTTGAAGAGTATTCAAATAGGCTAGAATCACTGTAAAGTGTATTGAAACTGAGGGGCGTGGGTTCAAACCCCAGAAGGGGCAACTTTTTTTTTTCTTTCTTTTTTTTCTTTTTAACATTTTTTATTAATCTCTAAGATCCCTAATGGAAAAAAAGTGTTTTATTTTAATTCTATTATTTTTTGTAGGTATTTTTTTACTAAATAATGCCAAATTTTATTGCAAATATGATACCAGATATTTTCAAAGTTTAATAAAATAAAAAGGACACGGTAAAAGTATTTTATATTTTGCAAGACCACTCAATATACATTTAAGACAATTAAGGCAAACTTTGAGAACAGCCCCTCGTTGTGGAAAATTTAAGGGATATTTAAAAAAAAAAAAGCTTTTTACACATTGAAATGGTCAAATAAGTGTTAAAAGTGGGTGGGGTAGGGTTACATTTTTATACATATTAAAAACATTTCGTTTAAAAACAATCATTTTGCTTCTTTAATTTGTTACCTACCTGTCATTATTTGTTTCTTAACAATGAACGATAGGATAACATTTTTCATAATGATGATATTATAGATTATTTAGAGTTTCCTCATTTCTGAAAAAAGCCTTTCTAATGGCAAAGTTTTAGTTCAGAAAAATGTCCATAACTCATAAACCACACGGTAAATTTTGTTTAAATTTTGCATACAGGTGACATTTAAGGCATATAACTGTCCTATGTTGTCAATTTTACAGTTCCTCATAGTGCCTATTAGGGGTGTACTACCTTAAAGTAAAAGTTTCCGGACAGACGTCGGTCGAAAAGCGATTGCAAAAGCTCACCATGTCACAGGTGACAGGTGAGTTAAAAACACCACCAAACACCATCAAACCATTTTCGTTAAAAATATGATTTACAACCCTTTCGCACCAATGCATCGATATGCATTTTAAAATAGAAATCTTATTATCATATTTTTATTGCGCTCCTACAATCCTTCGATAGTGTGGCAATCCAGGTGATAAAAGATGACTTTTATGATATCATTGAGGTACCTGGTTTTACTTTTTATTCGATAAAGTTAGAAAGTCTGTTGACACCAGTTTCTTCATGAAAAATGAACTTTTTGATTTCACTGAAATATTAAAATGTGATTCTGAATACATGTGAATATTTTGGATAAAGTTTTCCCTGGTAAATGACAAGACTTAAATTATTGGAGCAATGTATATCCCACCTACGATGTCAATTTTTTTTTAATGAAGATGAACATTTTAGATTTGAAAAAAGGTATCAGAGAAGGCAGCTGAATATAACTATTGCATTAAAGTAGGGGATGAGAACGCTCCTTGTGCATGTTTGCCTGTTTTTTTTATGTTTTGATAGGTCAATTGTAAGAGGGCTTGACCTTGACGAAGATATTCTTAATGATTTCAACTGTGTAGAAATGAATATAGACCTGAATAACTTGCCGTCTATGTCGCATGATATATCCGCCTCTGACCAAGTTCTTAAAAAACTCCAAAATGGGCTAATGACGTTAAGCTTGAATTCGTTATGAACATCCAGTATCCTTACGTTGAAAATTTAAGGACGAAACTACAAAATATGCAGCAGACCCCATCTAAAACGACATCGCAAATTTCTTTTCATCTACTTTTACAATGCAGCTGAATTAAGCTTCTCATCGAAAACGCATTTAGATTTAAAAGACAATCTGGTATGGGCCTCAGTGCCAAAAATTAAGGCGTATGTGCAATACCGCTAGAAGGAGTGCAACTTACACAAAAAGTATGAAAACAAATAAAGTCTAAATTAGAAGTGTATTTGACACAAAAACATATATGTCTCCCAATACTATGTATCACGCCCGTTTAACTCACAACGAGTGAAAAATGTCCATCGGTAAAAATGTTGTGAGCAACTTCCGTTCCTCGTTGTGAGCACCCATCTTTGACGTGTGACACGATAAACAAGGTGAGTTTTTCATAATTTTTGAAGATTACAGACATTTATGTAAAAATATCGAAATGCAGTTAGCTAGCGATGTGTTTTCCGAGTATGCACATGTAAAGATATTGCCTGTTGGTGGACAATTTGATGGAAATACCGTGCGACGCAGTCACTCGGGGTAGCAGGAAAACTGGAGACAACTTCTCTTTGGACCTAATTTAACATTCTGGTGACGTTTTTGTGCATTCTAACCTAAAACAGATGCCCACAAGTCTTCAGCGTAAATTATTATCTGAAAGTCTTCATAGAAACGAAGATATTCCCTTTTTTGCTTTAATCCTCGTTGTGAGCACCATAACCTCGTTGTGAGCAAGACAAGCGCAGTGGTTTAGTTTGGTTGAAATCCACCGGTAGTTTGATCTGTGAAGGTCGGACAAGTTTTTACCTATTTTTAGTTCTTGCGGCCATCTTATGCAGAGAAGCGGAACATGCCGGTGATGTGTACAACTAGAGATGGTACTTATCACTCCTGTAAAGTTTGGTTGAATTCCGACCAGTAGTTTGACCTGTGAAAATCGGACAATTTCTTTCTATTTTTAGTTCTGGTGGCCATTTTGACACATTTGACAGTGAAACAAGTACCGATTGCCAACCATCTACATCTTATGGGTCTACAGAAATACAGGAAGAAAAACGGCTGAGGCTAGAACTGGACGAGACCAAAAAAGATGTTAAGACCCTGAAACTCAGCTAAATTTGTACTGAAATTACAAAGAAACATGCACATTTAAACGTTTGTTTGGTATAGCACTCCCTTATATAGTATCGTTATATACTGGATGCCTGTCAGATGTTGAGATCACTAAAAATTCTGGTGTCCATGATTGTAAACTTTTTGAAAAAGGTGATGATGTGTTGGCTGATAAAGGGTTTCCTCTCAGATACTATCAGAAAGGGAAGTGACATTGAATATTATTCCATCATTTAAAAAAAGCTAAAGGCAAATTTACACTAGAAAGAGTGAGAGAGACTGAGCAAATAGCTAAACTAAGAATTCATATAGAAAGAATAAGTCGAGGAATATCATCTGTTTGACTATCTCCTGAGTTTCTTGGTACCGTTGGAAATGCAAAAACAGAAAGAGAAAAACAAAACCTGGTATAAATCACCATATGGTAAAATGTAGAAACCAACATTGGAAAAATGTTTCTGAAAACACTAGACGAATAATTACCCAAGGAACACTTGCTACACAAAATATTCAACAGAAACACAGTCAAAATAAGTTATAGTTGCATGAACAATATAAAAAACATAATTGACGGACATAACAAAGCTATTCTTTCTACAGAAACATTAAAAAATCTGCCTAAGACATGCAATTGTAGGAAACTAATAGATTGCCCCATGACGATGTTTGATGAAATCGGTTGTATCTAGAGCTACAGTGGAAACAAACGATGACAAGCCGAAACAAACATATGTAGGACTAACAGAAAATACCTTTAAAACCCGATTTACAAACCATAAATACCTAAGCTTAAAAACAGCACTGAATTAAGTAAATATGTATGGGAACTCAAAGAAGAAAACATCGACCTTAACATAACATGGAATATCTTAAAACAAGTCTCACCCTTCAACCCAGCCTCCGACCGATGCAACTTGTGGCTACATTATCTGCAAACAAGAAAACGCTACACTTAACAAAAGAAACGAACTTGTATCAGCCTGCAGACATTCCCGGAAATACATATTAAGCAACTATATAAAATAAGCAAGTATTAATTAAAAGTTTAGTCTCCATTAAATTTTTGAAATGAATAAGAAAATTCATTCTTTCTTTGTGATTGATGGCATTTTCCATATATTGAGCAACAATTATCTGCTGATAGTACTAGGGAAGTACAAATTAAAATTCATAAACAACATGTTTACGGTATTAGTTTTATATGTCAGTTACTAGGTAAAAGATCTTTATTATTGAGTTGACAAATTCTGCCCAATACAAATAAAGATTTTCCACAGGTCATTAGGGGTTGTATCTGTAAGACTCAATTTGAAATTACCTTTATGTTGGCATCTAAACAGAACAGCTAAGATTATATGAAAGAAGACACGCAGATTTACACTTAAACCATATAGATCTATTATGTTAGGAAATATGTTAATGACAGCAAAATTGAAACCGAAAGTAAAAAATCTTTTCTCTTACTGGATACCTCACAAATATAATTGAATTCTTGATGCAGTAATTTCTGTCCTGATGAACCTTTCTTCTGTTTAATATATAACTCTTCAAATGATAAATTATGGGGGAAAAAACAGAAAAGATCGCGAGAATATGTCATGAAAATATATTTGCTCCACTCACATACACGTTTTAAGTGGATCGATACTGTTATAAATTATGATTACACCGGATATCTTAACCAAAAGACAGTAAACTTAAAAAATAAACATATTTTAGTTAAACATACATTGACAGTCCAGTTTCTCAAGAAATGGCATGATCCAGTGCTGCAATCAGCTAAATGTTCGAATTATAAAAAAATTATTTAAAAGAATTAAAACTTAAATAACGTACTTTAATATAAGTCGTCAGTTCAGCGTGCACTTACAAACTTGCTTGCATGATTTCAGTCGGCCATATTCCCTAGCCATGAAAGATAACTCCCTGTTTCCCTGTCTAAAATTCCACCAAATTATTCCCCTTTCAAATGAACTCAAAGAAGGGACCTTTTAAAAAGACTTTGTATTTATTTATTCGATTTTTTGTTCAGAAACGGACAGTTTTTTCTTTACGCTTGTTTAATTTGCTTTCTATCTATATATGGTTCCTATGGTAAACATATGAGTTTTGATGGTAAACAAATGTGAATTTTCTGAACCGAAAGTAATCTAACACTCAGCGTTGCTGTCATCACATGTACACAATACATTAAATCAGTAAGAATATTGAGATATTTGTTTGACTATCAGTTTCAAATGCAAAATATTAATATGGAAAACAACTATGTGTAGTTTATGTGTATTGTTTTAATGTGTTTGTCTGATATTTTAGTTGTAAAAGCCATGTACACTTAGTGTCGTTTCATAGCAACCGAGTTTAAAACGTGAGCGGTAACTGAACGAGATATGGCAAAGCGCATGCTCGCGCACTGACTTCCGCTCTATCGAAATACTGCATATACGTACGTATAGCGAAAGTTCGTAAGTGGCGTGTTCAGTCGATTCCGTAAGCTACGTACATCCCCGAATTCGTGATTATTCATCTGTAAACCCCTCAAGAGGCATTTTTCTTGTAGAAAACCCTTAACCTGTATCGAAAACTTCAGAGATAGTCCGATGAAGTGATTATAAATAGAAAAGGAGGACACCTGACGACTACACATACACCTTTATTTAAGGTCGTCAATGATAAGCATACAAAGTCGTCAGATGAATATAAAGTCGTCATACAATTTGTTTTTTTTTTAAATGCCAGTTTTAATTAACTACATATAGGCCTATACCAATTATTACAAGAACATAATTAGTTTTACATGCTAGATTACTAACATTTTTGAGAAACTATTGAAAATAAACATGATAACATGCAGCAAGTACAATGTACATGTAATTATGTCTGTTAAAAAGAAATTTTATACGAACATTTGTACTAAGTTGAAATACAGACTTGAACGCGATTAATGAAACTTAAAGACACAACAGCTTTAAAGCTTTAACAGTAAAAGACAATGAAAAAACCACGATGGTAACATGCATCAGAAGAAAAAACGCTACTAAAAACATCTTCAACGGAAATAAATGCACGGAGTACTTATAGATAAATGTGCGTATTTACTGTATGCAGATATTTCGTATATATTTTTGTGACTTAAGGTTCATACTGATAACATGAATACATTGATGATTTTCAGCCTTATTGGTAAGTTCCCTGATGAACTCTTCTGGACACTGAAATGCAACGACACTTAACTGCCCGTCAGTCTACTCCTTACTTGTGCATTACAAAACAAAGCCTTAGCACAATCCCGTTTGAGATTGGCAACTTTTTATTGCCATCATACACAGCGACTGCAGTTTCGTCATTTGGATTATTTGGCTCAATTTCAATTCTGTAATATAATCCAACGCTTAACTGCTTTTCTCCGTAGTGATGCATGCCTACCACCATGACATTTCGAACGACTAAGCGTTTCATCATTTTGACCTGAAGATAAAACAATAACAAATCTTTATAAAATGTGAACAATAACGAAGCAAATCTATTCGTCTGGAATGGTTTCATTAGTTTTTCAGTCCGATTTTTACCTGTTTTTTTTATTTTGCGTTCATTTTTCATACGTTCTTTTTCAGCTTTTGTTTTCTCTCTCAGTTCTCTCTTGTTTTTCATTTCTTCCTTACGTTTTGCATCAGCAGCCACTTTCTCCATTTTTCGTTTTACTCTATCGAGCTTTCTTTGCTGCTTCGCCTTCTCTTCTTCTTCCCGCCTTTTTTCTTGTGCCTCTACTTCCTGTTGAACTTCAGTGCTTGTTAACACCCTAGCTTTTGAAGTTTTCTTGTTTATCCTTGTTTTTGATATAGGAGTCTTAGGGACGACCAGAATGTCAACAAGATCTGGTGATATTAATCCGGCACGCACTAAAGGATGGATTGGAGCGGAATCTGTAACATCTTTAAATGGAGGTGCTTTTGAAGTCTGGACAGTATCCGTTTTGCTAGGAAGAGGGAAAAAGGTGCTGGTAGCCAATGAATTTTTGGGGAGGCTATGCCGACCCAATGTTAATAACCGTCCGTCAAATCTTACTGCCGCGGTAATCAGGTCAAAAAATAGTACCTTGATTTTTTCTAAGCTGACTCATCACTCATCACAGACATTTACAATATGAAAATATTTTCATTCTTTAATTTCATATCTGCAATTTGTAAAGATAATAATTCTCTGAAAAATTCTTGATTTTTGTTTAAATCACTACTCCGTGACGTCATACTGCCGCGGTAATCAGGTTTAGGCATACGTACGTCTGTAATAAATAGTTCTGGTATGAAAACCCTTCAAAAAATAATAACTTTATCAATATTTTTTTAACAAAAAAGCATAAATGAAAATTTATAAGTAAATGCTTTAATTTAGTGGCAAATATTCTTTATTATTTTTGATAACAATTTTCCAATTACTACGCAGCGACCAACTGCTTATGACGGGTCATTAACTAGAACGTTGCAACACCGTATTCTCAATATCATGCATGTTCTTTTGTTGTTATAAACCATTAATAGTCCTTAATATTTTTTAAAGACAAATAATTGTAAACTGTCGCTTACATCAGAGACATGGGTCATGCTTGTGTGATAACTAAGGAAAACTAACTTATTAGTACACCCCAGGAGGCTGTACGCGGAAAACGCTCATAAACCGCTATATCATATAGCTTGCATACATTTAACTAAAAATTCACTGATGGTGATGAACATATAGTTTGAAAACATTATATTCTTGAACCATTATCGCCGAAAAAAAACTATTTAACTACAAAACCCCTAAGGACCCTCCGACAAAATTCCAGCACAATATTACATTTTACATTAGCAAAATAAAAAAGCAATACTTATATTTTCATCTTACATTTATAATTCATTAATCAAACTTTTAACATAAAAGTATCTTTGGCAATTGACAGATCCCTACTCTGATCTTTTATTTGTATAGGAATAAATTTAAACATGTGCTCTTTTGTTTAGGAATATTTTGTAGTGAAAGTCTTATATATTCACTAATCTCATAATTAGAATTAGACAGGTCAGGGATTTATACAACCAGTTGTTTAGTTAACTATGCTCATTTTAATCCCAATAGAAACATTCAAATATTTGGGGTAAAAAACATGACCAAAGTACCTAGTAGTCGTTTACCCGGTGGTGATCCCATTAAACTGATTATAGATTCGAATTGATTAGAAAACACAAATAGAAACATGTGTTTCCGTACAACAAAAATCGGAAGTAAAGTGAACAGTTAATTGACAGAAATATGTGGTCAAATATATTTTAACAAGGAAATAATTATTTCAGAAAAAGACGCAAAGATCAGTATGACCCCGTATGTGTAATTAGAAAGTTTATTCAATTCTAGGGCATACATCATAATTTGATAGTCCATGTGTAATAAAATTCAAATTTTCAATACAGATTATGAGATACATAAAAAATATTAAAGAATAAGAAGCTTTAATTAAAAAAAAAAAAAAAAAAAAACCGCATACATATACAAATTACTTACAGTCGAGCATCGGGAAGTCATTAACATATCTTACGAAACTTTAATTTGAAAACGATATTTGCGCGCGCTGAAGTGATTAATGTTTATTTGAAAAAATAAAAAAAAGAACTTTTATGTTTGTGTTCTAAAAATAATCGGCGGCATAAAGGAATTTCTTATTCATTTTACAACACTTGAAAAATTACTACAGAAAATGTGTTGTTGTTTTTTTGTTTTGTTTTCAACAAAAGTGTGTGTGTTTTAAGTTTATTTATACTCGGCGCCGGAATAACCATATGTCCGAGATTATAGCATCTGGAACGTCTTTTTCAAGCAGATTCTTCCTGGAAGCCCATTCTTCGTTCTTTGGTGGTAAAGGAGACGACAATACCGTCAAGGCATCAACTTTCTGACTGACGACAAACAAAAACGGCATCTATTAGCGCCAAACCTCCAGAGTAAGTCACGACAGGTCAACCAATCACCTCTGGTACTTATGATGACTTGACTATGACCTTCCGTGTGCCTTCTCCGCGACGTGCACGCCTCTGGAGGGATTTGGAGAAGTTTCAACAAAAACTTCCAAAACACGCCATTTATAACACCATTCATAGCACTGACGGCTTCGATGTTCTCATCTATTTGCGGGAAATGGTCGACAGGGAAAACCCTACGTAATAACCGCACACCCTGTTAACAACAGATTTTCCGCAGTATATATTTCAAGCTAGTGAGGTTTAAAAATACACGTAGAATCTATCGATTAACTACCATAAGTTGGTTGAGTGTTAGCGGTATAAAAAGAAGATATAACTTCCTGATCAATTTTCACTTAGGTTGATTCAGTTTTGAATAAGCTTTGCAGATATGTATTTTTTCAAGAAATATTTAGCTTTAATATTATCCGACGCCGTCAGTAATGAAATGGGAATAATTTTCTGACACGTGATTTTATTCGAGATTTGCTTCTGGAGAAGACAACCTTCTGTCCGTAGAGCATGAATATTAATACTCATCACAAGACAGTATCTTATTGATCTCAATTATGATACATCTAAACGTGTATAATTTTTATGTTCAATAAAAATGTTGCATCACTTGCAGTTGTTATTATCATTCAATAATATTAAAATGACATAAAGTATTTATGATGAACAGTCCTAGAATATTTTGATAAGGAACCGTCAGTTGTAAAATGTTATTGTTATCTGATAATGAACAGTCGTCATACTTGCTGGTATGTCATTTATTATTGACAGTTTAGGTTTTTCAAAATTTGCATGATTAACAGTCCGAATGTAGACCTCAATGAAATGTTCTGGAATATTAACAAAATGAATAGTCAACCACATTAACCATATATATGAATGATTGAACACAACAGTAAGGATAAATAGCGCAATGTGCATATCCTTTTATTTTGGTAGCATATCTTAAGCAAAAAGAAAAGAAACTATAAGTCTGAAACATTCTCTCATAGCCTCCCCATCAGTACATTCAGTGCTTTGATTTCTATCGGAGTTTCG